TCCAGCTTTGTCGAATCTTTCCTTTAAAATCTCAAAATCTTTTAGAAACGCCGAGATAATCACTTGGGAAGGTTCACAGGGAGAATTCAAGTTGGTCGACCCGGACGAGGTGGCAAGGTTTGTCGCTTTGCATTCTTATGCATTCGATATGCTTTTCAAAGATCTAAAAGGGGAATCTTTCCAGGAAATGGGGTGAACGAAAGTCGAAACCGAACATGAATTACGATAAGATGTCACGAGCGTTGAGATATTACTACGATAAGAATATTATGTGCAAAGTCCACGGGAAAAGATACGCCTACAAGTTTGATTTTCAAGGTAAGCAGTGTTCAAAGTTCAGTACTGTTTTACTGTTGCCAATGTGGTTTCAGTATTTTGGGGATTCTGGGAAGAGGCAAGCTTGAGGCAAGCTTGAGAAGGCAGTGCTCTAGTCGCAAGACTTGTAATCTAGGAGCTAGACTAGAGCTAGTCAGATCTAGAAGCTAGCCAGGTAGATCTAGAAGCTAGCCAGGTAGATCTAGAAGCTAGCCAGGTAGATCTAGAAGCTAGCCAGCAGATCTAGAAGCTAGCCAGGTAGATCTAGAAGCTAGCCAGACAGATCTAGAAGCTAGCCAGGTAGATCTAGAAGCTAGCCAGACAGATCTAGAAGCTAGCCAGGTAGATCTAGAAGCTAGCCAGACAGATCTAGAAGCTAGCCAGGTAGATCTAGAAGCTAGCCAGGTAGATCTAGAAGCTAGCCAGCAGATCTAGAAGCTAGCCAGGTAGATCTAGAAGCTAGCCAGGTAGATCTAGAAGCTAGCCAGCAGATCTAGAAGCTAGCCAGGTAGATCTAGAAGCTAGCCAGACAGATCTAGAAGCTAGCCAGGTAGATCTAGAAGCTAGCCAGGTAGATCTAGAAGCTAAACTAAAGTCAGGCAGATCTAGAAGCTTGACTAGATCTCTAGATCAATCTAGGCTTAATCCAGACCCTAGCTGGCACTGATCTAGGCTAACTTGGCTTGTCCCAATCTTCAAACATCACTCTTCAACTTTCTGAAGCCTACAAAGGCTACAAATAAAGGCTACAAATGAAAACGAAACATTTAAGGGATCGCGGCAGCAATGCAACCCCAACCAGGCGCTCCAGATTATCTCACAGCGTCTTCAGTTGGACGACTTCACTCGGATTTCATCTCTTCTCAATGGAGTGCTGCTGCTAACTATCGATCGCTTATACCAACTGGATTCCAGGTAACGGCTTTCAAGCCTCGGCCTCGGCTTTCAGCATTCTAATCCTAACAAGAGGCTTTCCTCGTTAGTCTAATAAAGAATACAATCGAATATGACAATTTGTAGCCGGCTGAGTTTACGCCAATCCAATCCTATGGTTACTGTAACTTTTTAGACCTTCGGAGTACTGTAGTACTCGAGAAAATGAAATCCAATGTATCACTTCAATAACTGAATATCTTATGATTATATAGAAACCAGATCGCTATTATATCGTTGCCGTAATCCTTACAATAATCGTTACAATATCTTTACAGTAATCTCTACAATAGCCTTTACAATATCATTACAGTAATCCTTACAATATCCTTACAATATCCCTACAATATCCCTACAGTAACCCTCAGAAGTCCCTAAGATCACTGTAGACTAACAGTTTCATTAAAATAATCAATTAAATTCAACAATTCTCTGTAAAGCATTATAATATAATCTATTATTTCTAAAATACAATTCTGTGCGGTGCGTGAGAGAGGAACCGATTCGGCAATGATCATTTCGAGATTTTATTCCGAATCTAGCACAATCACAAATCTAGCGAGAAAATAATCAATCGTTTGGTTAGTGTTTGAAAAGTCTCATTTCTGGATTCTTAGCTGAGCAACTGAATTCTCATTTACCCATTCCAGGAGTAACAAATAGAGTTTCGAGAGAGTGCTGTCGACTTAAGAGCAGAGATTACTGTTTAGTCTAGAGCTACTTGTAACTGTTTAGTTAGCTGTGACTGTTTAGCTACCTGCAACTGTTAAAGACAACAAGATTACTGTTTAGTCTAGAGCTACCTGTAACTGTTTACCTACCAGTAACTGTTAAAGACAAGGAGCTAAGTGTTTAGTTCAGAGCTACTTGTAACTGTTTAGTTACCTGTAACTGTTAAAGAGAACAAGATTACTGTTCAGTCTAGAGCTACTTGTAACTGTTTAGCTACTTGTAACTGTTAAAGACAACGAGCTAACTGTTCAGTCTAGAGCCACCTGTAACTGTTTAGCCATCTGTAACTCTTAAAGACAACGAGATTACTGTTTAGTCTAAAGCTGCCGAAACCTGTAAACAATCAAATATAACTGTAACTTTCTAAGAAAAAAAACAAAAACAATTCGATAAACTGAATCTCTTTTTTATATCTTTTTTTTTTATCTTCCCCGATTACAGACATCTTCGGGACTTTTCGGCGCCTCCTACGGCGCTTTCCCCACAACAACCGGTGCCCAATCAGCGTTGCACACAAAGAATTTCAATCTCTACAACGCGGCAGCCACCTATTCATCTAAATGTTTATAATTTATTTTTAAAATTTAAAAAAATCTAATAAAATCAAAGATATTTTTGCATAATCTCGAGCTTAAAAAAATAGAAAAAATTTTTTTTTTTTTTTAATTTAAATTGATCTCTCGAAATTCCTACGGGAAATTTTTGCATTTTTAAAGCATTTTAAAGTATTTTTAAAGCATTTTTAAAGCATTTTTAAGCATTCTTTTTGTGATTTTTATTTGAGAATTTCATGTAAATTTGTATAAATTTAACGAGAAGATTTTTCGTGAACATTTACTGGCAACAATTGGAACGTGAACATCCACTGCAACAATTGGAACGTGAACATTTACTGGCAACAATTGGAACGTGAACATCCACTGCAACAATTGGAACGTGAACATTTACTGGCAACAAGTTTAAACACTTGATAACTCGAGGTATAGAAATTGAATAGGAAAGTAAAGGAAAAGGAAAAGCAGAGGAAAAGCAGAGGAAATGTTTTCCTTTACATTTCCTACTGCAAAAATGAATCCATCAGATGATACACTGAAAACTTTGATTTCTCTTTATAGCGGTGATTTTTAATGTCCTTTTCATGTGTCCTTTTCACTTTAATATCCAAAATGCCAAAGGGATTCGTTTAAATTTGAAGCATAAAGTACAAGAATGTACAAAGAACAAGTACTTTATTTAGATAAAATTGGGAAATCATTATTTTCAAGGGAATTTTGACGAGGAATCGATGATCGAAAGCTGAAAGAAAATCAATTATTAGGTATTGATGCAAAAGTCTTTTTCATTTTTCATTCGTACTTCTTTTGAAAAATAACAAAGTCATCAATTAACCTATGGTTTGCTGTGTTTTATTGTTGAATTTCCCATCTTTTTAAGTCAATTTGGGTTCACTTTCAAGCAAATTCGAGAGTGAAAAACGGGTTTTTCATAAAAATCTATAAAAACCTCTATAAAGAAATTGGCTGAATCAATTTCTCTGAAAATCTGAAAAAAGATATCTAACTTTTTGTGCTCTATCTTTTATTTATTAGCATCAAGATTGGTTTCCTTAGCTAAAGCGTCTAAAATGCATCATCGAGCCGTCGCCTTTTTTTGACTACCCGACTTCATGCTCTCAAAAAAAATCTAGACATAAGACATTTTAAACTCGTTTTAATGTCATTTTGCAGAAAAATGATTGGCCTTTCGAATGCAATAAACCGTTGTTCAATTGGTCCATTTGTCACTTTTTAACGGAAGTACGAAAAAAAATGAAAAAGACTTTTGCATCAACCTAATAAGTAAAGTTGAAGCAATAATTTGTGAATTCTTGATAATTCTTGATAATTTGATAAGTTTTAAAACCGATTTTAACTTTTCAATTAAGAATTTCAACAAAATTGAATCACTCTTTAGCAATTGAATTCTTTATGTTTATAAAGAATGCAATTGCTTTTGTCTTTTTAGAAAAGTGTCTTTTTATAAAAGAAAAACTTTATTAAACTGCTTTCCTATCAAAAACTGAGTGATTGAGCTTTAAATATTAGTCAAAATGTTAAGAGTTTAATTCTATTATCATTTCTTTCTAGATTATTTCTATAATTCTTTTTTACACTTAGGCGTTAGAGCCTGAAAGAGCCAGTTTTTGTTAAGTCTAGCTTTAAGCCAGCTTTTATTAGTTCTAGCATTAAGCCAGCTTTTGTTAGATCTAGCTTTAAGCCAGTTTTTGTTAAGTCTAGCTTTAAGCCAGCTTTTGTTAGTTCTAGCTTTAAGCTAGCTTTTGTTAAGCCGATCCTTAAGCCAGCTTCTGTTAAGTCTAGCTTTAAGCCAGCTTTAGTTAGATCTAGCTTTAAGCTAGCTTTTGTTAAGCCTAGCTTTAAGCCAGCTTTTGTTAAGCCTAGCTTTAAGCCAGCTTTTGTTAAGCCTAGCTTTAAGCTAGCTTTTGTTAAGCCTAGCTTTAAGCTAGCTTTTGTTAAGCCGATCTTTAAGCCAGCTTCTGTTAAGTCTAGCTTTAAGCCAGCTTTAGTTAGATCTAGCTTTAAGCTAGCTTTTGTTAAGTCTAGCTTTAAGCCAGCTTTTCCTTGTTTTGTTTATATCAAATGTTTTTAAATCGAAAAACTAACCACAAATAGAAGACAGCTGAAAGAAGTGACGAACCAATAGCCGCCAATAACATTAGATAGAAGAAAGCTAGTGGAGAAAGTGATGAGAGGAGAATTGAGCGAATTGTCGAGGAAGCAAGGGAAAGGGATGGAGAACCGAAGAGGCCGAGCAGGGAAACACCTGAGGAAAACGAGCACACCTGCAAAGATTGATAAAGAAAAGATTGTAGATCGATAAAGAAAAGAAAACATCGATTGTTGACTTAGAAATGAGCAAAATTAGATTTCAATAAGAACTAAATGTTTAGATCTTTATGTTTAGATCGGTATCTCTATCTTTTTGTTTATCTAAACCTGCGATAGTTTCATGGAAAGATTAGAGAAAAACGAATTGTTCTTCTACTTTTTCTTTAGACCAACCCTAACCAATCCGACGATCAATGGAATCATTTCTTTCGTTGAATCGCTTGCAAGTAGATGCGACAAAATCAGGAGTGAGTTGAGAAGAGATTCAAGACAGAGAGCCTGTAAATCATTGGGTTAAGTTTTTAAAGCTTTTCAAGGCTTTCAAAAGCTTTCCAAGGCTTACCAAAGCTCTCAAAAGCTCTCCAAGGCTTTCCAAGGCTTACCAAAGCTCTCCAAAGCTTTCCAAAGACTTTCAAAAGCTTTCCAAAGCTCTCAAAAGCTTTCCAAGGCTTACCAAAGCTCTCCAAAGCTTTCCAAAGACTTTCAAAAGCTTTCCAAAGCTCTCAAAAGCTTTCCAAGGCTTACCAAAGCTCTCCAAAGCTTTCAAAAGCTCTCAAAAGCTCTCCAAGGCTTTTCAAAATTCTCAAAAACTTTCACAAGCTTTCCAAGGCTTACCAAAGCTCTCCAAAGCTTTCCAAAGCTCTCCAAAGCTTTCCAAAGCTATGCCAAGAATCCTTGGTCAACAAAAGTAAGAAACCAGAAGCTCTAGAAAAAGCTATAATCCTAGATAAACTACTGTACTCCTGTAAGGCTTGGTTTAGCTTGATTTACTGACCCTAAGAATCGATTAGAAGATCGCTATTCGCCCAAAAACCTTACTCTTAGGCCCTAGTCGGATTTGATCTTGATACTTGCTGTGAACAGTCACCTAACCTGTATTTAAACTTAAACAAGCTGCTTTCACTAGAAAGACTTTGCAAGAGTCGCGTTAATACCTTGAATCGATTGATTTGCGGATTGTAATCCTCTGCAGTCAACGAATTTCCAATAAATGTGTCTTCATAACGATCCGCTGTCATCACCCAACAGCCAAGTGCTGTACCTAAAAGCTTTAAATAGAAAGAAGAACGAATATTCAATCAATTCAATTCAATTCAAAAAAAGTTCACCAAAAAAAGCGCCAAAAAATTGGGAAATCGTGTAGGAGACGAGTGAGATCACGGACATTTTCCCGCAAATCGTGTAGGCCAGAGAGATCGCTGAGATTCATTTTGAGCAGATCAAACCCTTGACTGAACCTGCTTCATCTGATTTTACAGCTGTTTTAATTTTACAGCTGTAACATCACTTTGCTGGGGAACCAGGATCTGACCATTTTGCTGGGAAACCAGGATCTAACATCACTTTGCTGGGAAACTATGATCTTGTCCTTATCAGGACGTTGACTCAGGCTTTCCTCTACATTTATTGCTAACTTTAGCGTGATCTGGTGGCCTACAAACTAGCCAAAAGCCAGGCTAGAATCCTTGTTCTAACTCAAAACCTGACTTTATTGCTAGCATTGACCTGAGCTTGACTCCAGAATCCTCCAATCATCTAGGCTGGCGATCGAATCGAAGAATGCTTTCAAGTGTAGGCCAGCTAGTCTTATGAGTCTAGCAGATTTAAGCTGTCTCAAAGCTACGAAGAAGCCAAACTCTGATTCTCTAGCTGACTCTCTAGTTGGTTCTCTAGCTGATTCTCTAGTTGGTTCTCTAGCTAGTTCTCTAGCTGGTTCTCTAGCTGATTCTCTAGCTGGTTCTCTAGCTGATTCTCTAGCTGGTTCCCTAGCTGATTCTCTAGCTGATTCTCTAGCTGATTCTCTAGCTGATTCTCTAGCTGGTTCCCTAGCTGGTTCTCTAGCTGGTTCTCTAGCTGATTCTCTAGCTGGTTCTCTAGCTTCTCTAAATCTCTAGAAGACAGTTGCAGTCTAAAAAGCCTAACAAAATCAGCTTATTGTTTGATCTTGAGCCTAATCTGGTTTTCCTATTACCTTGCCTTGGTCTGAATTTGGCTTTCGATTAAAACCAAGCCAGATAGCCAGAAACCAGTCCAGGCCAAGCTTCAGGCTACTTAGGTCAACCAAGCCTCTAACAAATCCAGGCTACTTAGGTCAACCAAGCCTCTAACAAATCCAGGCTACTTAGGTCAACCAAGCCTCTAACAAATCCAGGCTACTTAGGTCAACCAAGCCTCTAACAAATCCAGGCTACTTAGGTCAACCAAGCCTCTAACAAATCCAGGCTACTTAGGTCAACCAAGCCTCTAACAAATCCAGGCTACTTAGGTCAACCAAGCCTCTAACAAATCCAGGCTACTTAGGTCAACCAAGCCAGCACCCTAACTAGACTTAAGGCCTTTTTTTGAGGCTTTCTGTCTACCTGGATTCAAATGCGCTCCACTGATTCGAAGAACGGAAAACATGGAAACACTGAGCGCGATTCCATCAAAAATCACAAATGTTGACAGTGAGGTGGGCGTGGATGAGAGTAGAACTGAAAAAAAGAAATCGTTATTGTTTGTGGAAGCGTTGTTGAACGTTGAACTCGTCATTTACAGTGTGCAAGCTAAAACTGAAACTGAAATGAAAGAAAATGAACTGAAATGAAGCTGAAATGCAAGCTAAAAGCCTAGCTAAAGCAGAGCTCTACCCAAAAACGAGTAGACACTCGAGGCAAAGAGTTCGGCCAGCGCTGGACGTCCATGCGATTCCCAGAGATCTGTCGGAAGTTGATGATCGCTCATCACAAGCTATAATCTTTCAGCATTTGTTTTAATTTAGACAAACTCTTCATTTTCTTCAGCCAACCATACCATTCTCGACTTTCTATCATCAAAATTTGTTTCTGTCATCTCCTCTCTCAGAAATCTCGTCTCTCAAGAAAGCTATCGTATTGTTTTCTTTTTTATAAACAATTCTGGATGTCACACATTAATTTAAAGCTTTTTTTATAAGCAAAAAATGGTTTCTAATTTTTGGTAGTTTTTTTTTTGATTTTTTTTTTTATAAACTTTTTTTAAAAGAAAAACAATTAAATTAATAGAATAAATAATATTTAATTAGTTTCTTTTTTATAAATTTCTTCTCATTTCTCATTAAATCCATAATATTTTAAAAGAAATTTCGCAAAAGAAAAAACGAGCTTTTCCTTAGGAAACTTTCCCCGGGAGTGGGACAAATGCGAGCTTTTTTTTTTTTTTGGCTTTTTTTGTGCGCACCGGCTTAGGCTTAGGCTGAAGAGTAAAATGTTATCTTTTAGTTAAACTTTTTAGTTATCTAATAAACTCTTGTAGAAGTCGATGATTTAATAGCCTCTAAGCCTCTTTAATAGCCTTTAATAGCCTCTAATTACTAAAGTTTCTAATTTACCTAAGCCTAAGCCTAAGCCTTTTTCCGCACCTTGCCCATTAGCGCACCTTTTTTTTCGCGTTTTAAAAAAAGCTCTAAGCTCTAAAAAGCTCTAAAAAGCTATTCCAATTAACCAATTTCTATTCTAAAAGTTCTTTTTCGATTTTTCTATTTTTTCTAGGTGATTTGAGGGCGTAAAATCGAAATTTTGATATATCAGAGCTTGTGGAAACAAAAGGACGGAGTTATACAAAGAGAAAAATCATCAAGCGACAATTTTCTTTATTTTGATCTAGCCGTTTTTGTCTTTCAAATTGGTTAGATCGGCTAGATCAAATTACAGAAAATTGTCGATTTTTCTCTTTGTATAACTCCGTGTGTTCGCTTCAATAAGCTCTGTTATGTCAAAATTCGGATTCTACGCCCTCAAATTACCTAGAAAAACAACTTTTGGAATAGAAATTTGTTAATAGCTTTTTAGCTTAATAGCTTTTTAGCTAGCCTTTTAGAGCTTTTTTTAAAACGCGAAAAAAAGGTGCGCTAATGGGCAAAGGTGCGCAAATGTCCGGGTGCGCAAAAAAAAAAAGCTCGCATTTCTCCCACTCCCCTGATTTGTCGCAAATTCGGAATCTACGCATACTAGACATGGGAAAATTCCAACCGAAACCTAATTCCACCTTCGTTTTCTCAGCTGTCTCTTGGTCGATTTTTCTGAGATTTTGTTTACAAACAGAGAATGCTAATTTCTATTTGTAAACAAAATTTCAGAAAAATCGACCAAGAGACGGCTGAGAAAACGAAGGTGGAATTAGGTTTCGGTTGGAATTTTCCCATGTCTAACGCATACGATTCCCTTCTATGAAAACATTTTCGAAGCTCTACGACCTTTCCTAAGGCCTTTTCCAGCAAAAAAAAAAAGGTGCGCAAATGTCGGGGTGCGCAAAAAAAAAAAGCTCGCATTTCTCTCACTCCCCTTTCCCCTCTTAAAATGTGATTGAAAAAGAAAAATTTTCGAAAACAAAAACCCTCTCAAACCTGTACTTTTCAGCCACACAAATTGGCACCTGCTTCGTGTTTGTCGGGAAAAGAGTAGGCAAATCTTTGAGCAGTTTGATTAGTTTGGGGAGTAGTTTACAAGCTTTTGTGAAAAGCATTTCACAGCCAAAAGACTCGCGTATCACCATGACGACAATTTTCCTTTTCCATTTCTCATTTTCCTTTCCCCCTCATTTTTCTTCATTTTTCCGTGAAAAATCGATGCAAATATTGATTTTTTTTTCGATTATGGATGTCATAGAATATTCTTAAAAAAAGAATTTTGAAAAAAAAACGATTTTGAAATTCACCGCGGTGATGTGGCCGAGTGGTTAGTGTGTTTGACTCTGAGGCGAGCTGAGGTTCACGGTGGCTGGGTTCGACCCCGGCCACAGCAGATTCTTTTTTGCTTTGCTTTTAATTTGTTTTGCTTTCAACTTGTAACTGTAATTAAGAAACCAAGTGCACCAGATGCGGTGTTTTTGTGTATTCTAAGCGTGTACTTTGTGCTATAAACGAGAATCTTCTGGTTTTCGAGGTACAAAAATCGGATGAATTGAGTGCGACAGAAATGGTGCGTTTATGAGAGCACAAAGGACACTTGATTGCTAGATAACTTGGCAACAAAAACATTTATTAGAATACATTTCAAAAAGTCGAAGGCAGTGTTGTGAAGGCAGTTACACAAAGCTTTAAGAACGATATCCGTTAGCCAGCGATTTCCTTGCTTTCCTGGTCACCAAACGGTTCAAATTTGTCGAAAATAGTTTTCCTGGGTGGCACAACGATAGACAGCGTCACTCGAAACGGTCGATCACAAAAACTGATTGGGTTGATTGGGTTGATCCGTTAGCCACCAATTTCCTCACTTCCCCGATCACCAAACAGCTCAAATTTGTCGACAATAGACTTCCTGGGTGGCACAACGATAGACATCGTCACTAAGAACAGCTGATCACAAAAAGCGGATGATGGGGTTGATTGGGTTGATCCGTTAGCCACCAATTCCCCCCTTTCCCCGATCACCAAACGGTTCGAATTTGTCGAAAATAATCCTCCTGGGTGGCACCAAGATAGACGGTGTCACCCAAACGGCCAATTACAAAATCCGGATGATCAGGCTGATCGGGTTGCGTTGTGGAGACAACAGAAACTGAGGTAGAGACACGGACACGGACACGACGATGCGGACGGGCGCATTTGAGGAGCAGCTCGGTGATTCGCCTGGAAATTGATAGTGCTTCGATTGGGAAATGATAAAAGAGGGATAGGGTGATTTTCTTAAAACGATGGTTGTCTTGAAATGTCTAAAATTTAGCTCACAAGGGAATGACCTGAAGTTCGGAATGGCTTTGAGTCTTGTAGATCTTCGTCGCCGATTCTATAAGATCCAACTAGACTCAAAGTGATTCCAGACTTCAGTTTGGGTCTGCTGGTCAAGCTGACCTAGCTAGACTGAATCAGAACTGAGCCAGAGTTGAGCCAAAGCTAGTCCGGATCAGAATCAGGCTACACTTTCTTTCTGCAAGATTGATCGATCATCGATTTCCGCTTTAGAGCCATGCCAGCTAGCCAGGCTATGTTAAAGTCTTTACTAGAGATCAGCTGAGGCTAAACTAGGCAAGACTTTGTCAGGGTCAAGCCAAGCGTCAAGCCAAGCGTCAAGCCAGGCGTCAAGCCAGGCGTCAAGCCAAGCGTCAAGCCAGGCGTCAAGCCAGGCGTCAAGCCAAGCGTCAAGCCAGGCGTCAAGCCAAGCGTCAAGCCAAGCGTCAAGCCAAGCGTCAAGCCAAGCGTCAAGCCAAGCGTCAAGCCAGGCGTCAAGCCAAGCGTCAAGCCAGGCGTCAAGCCAAGCGTCAAGCCAAGCGTCAAGCCAAGCGTCAAGCCAAGCGTCAAGGCAAGCGTCAAGCCAGGCGTCAAGCCAAGCCATCAAGGCAGCCAAACTCAGAACTAAGTAAAGCCAAATTTTTGCAGAGTTATGTGTTAGGTTTGGCTTGAATGCCAGCCCCTCAACTAGTTAACGTAAACCATTTCAACCAGGCTTTCCCAGGAACTCACCAACTTTTCACCAATTTGATGAAAACGTAGCGAATCTCGTGACACGTGTAAACGGGTAAAACGATGATCACGACACCGTAGCTGAAAGTTGAAGAAAGTTAAAGAAAACAAATACATTTTCTAAAGCATGCCTATTTTCGTGTAGCCGGGTAGTTGTAAAGTTAAATCAAGGCTAGATTAGCGGGAGTGCATTTAAAATAAGCCCCTGATTCAGTGTTTGGAAAAACGTTTAGCCCATCGTAAAATGATAAATCTAACTGATTATCATAAATCTAACTGATTATCTAACCGAATCTAACTGATTCATCTTCTAGCTCTACTGTTCTAGTTATTCTTTCCCCCCCCCTTTCCCCCCCCCCCTCTCCAGCTCCTCTTTTTTTCCTCCTTTTCTCTAACTTTTTTTCTTTTATTCTTTTTTTCCTATTCTAGCTCCATCCCCTATTCTAGCTCTTTTCTTGTCCAGCTCTTTTTTTCCAGCTCTTCTTTTCGGCTCTTTCCCTATTTTGGCCTTTTTTTTCCCCCCCCCCCCTTCTTCTCCCCCCCACCCCTTCTTCTTATACTTTTTGTCCACTTTTTTATTTCGCCTTTCCTATTCTAGCTTTTCCTTTTCCAGCTTTTTTTTTTCGGCTCTTCTATTCTAGCTCTTCTATTCAAAACGATCTCAAAAAAGGCTAAACTTCAATGGTGAAATAAGAAGTGAAAATCAATTAGATGTAGATTTAGTAAAAGTTTTGATTGCAAAAAGCAGTTTCGAATTTTTCTTTCAACTTACACAGCAATGAGTAAATCAGCGATTTCGTAGAAAAAATAGGCAATGAAAGTGTTTGGATCGGCTCGAGTTTCGGCTATCAAAAAACATAAAGCGATAAGGAAATTGAAAGCGAAACAAGTGATGATGAAGGTGAAAACGACCTAAAAATTCCAGAGTTTTTCCCCGTTTTGCATAGAATAAAGGTTAATTTAAAGGTTTTCCAAAAAAGCTTTTCCAAGAAAGCTTTTATCATTTTACTAAACTTTATCACTTTCTATAGTCCTTTAAATAGTTAGCAGAACGCAGAACTTTTTTTAAGTATCTGTCTGAAATCTTTCGGTCGTGTATATCTGTTTATCTGTCTGTCTGTTTATCTGTCTGTTTGTCTGTCTATCTATCTATCTATCCATCTATCTATCTATCCATCTATCTATCTATCTATCTATCTATCCCTCTCTATCATCTATCTATCTTTTCCTATCTATCTATCTATCTATTTCTTTCATCCATCTATCTGTATATATATTCATCCATTTATCTCTCTATCTATCTATCTATATCTACCATATCAATAACTAACCTATTTACTTTTTATTCAACCATCTAACCTATCTATCTGTCTGTATGTCTTCTGTCTATTCATATCCATCCATCTATCTATCCATCTATCTATCTATCCATCTATCTGTCTATCTATCTATCTATCTATCTATCTATCTATCTCACCCACCTACCTATCTATCCATCCATCTATCTATCTATCCCTATCCTACTTTCTATCTATCTATCTATCTATCCATCCAAAAAAAAAAAAATATTCTTCTGTCTATCTATCTGTCTGTATGTCTTCTGTCTATCTATCCATCCATCTATCTATCCATCTATCTATCTATCCATCTATCTGTCTATCTATCTATCTATCTGTCTATCTATCTATCTATCTATCTATCTGTCTGTATGTCTTCTGTCTATCTATCCATCCATCTATCTATCCATCTATCTATCTATCCATCTATCTGTCTATCTATCTTCTTGTCTTTCTTCTTCTTCTAACTATTCCATCCATCTATCTATCCATCTATCTATCTATCTACCTCTCTCTCTTCCCCTACAGTTAGCTCAATTTCACTACTGTTTACTGTAGCTTTTGTACAGTAATTGTACAGCAATATAACTGTAACTAAATATCTCAAACTACTAGCCATTTTGTTCGACATTTTCTCTCTAACCATTAGCATACTGTAGCTTTGCAGACTATAAAAGATTTCCCACAAATTGACTAATCTTTTTAAGCCTTTATCTAATGAGATTTCAAACTTGTATAAACACATTTCTTTCTATTGCACTAAAATCTTTTCCTTTTCTCAGCTTATTGCAGCATTTCGGCCAGCCAGCAGCTAGCAGCAGTAAGTCAGCAATTGAATGAGTTAAAAAGTACACAACGTACAGAAAGTACACAACGTACACAATGGACATAAAGTACAGAAAGTACACAAAGTACACAAAGTACACAAAGTACAGAAAGTACACAATGTACACAACGTACAGAAAGTACACAAAGTACACAAAGTAAAGCAAAAAGGCAAACCCCCCTCAAAAAGCCAACCTTTAACGCCATGACATTCTCTCCCAACTGAAATCTCTTTGACAACGAATAAACATTTGCATCAATTGTTTCGATTCGATTTTGCATTGTCACATTTATTTTGAAAATCATATAGAAATACTGAAATACTTAATATAATTTTAAAAGAAAACCCTTTTTATAAACCAAAAATAGTAGCACATTGCCGATGATTGCCATGAGGACACCATGGAGGAAAGTGAGGCGATCTACGAATTAAAGTTATCAAATTCAAGACTGACAGGAAAAGATTGATTCCCTTCAAGTTAAAGCCAACGAATACCAAAAGATATTCAGTTATCAGAGTGACATCCAAGGACTTGTTAGAAAATAGATTTCACTTATAAAATTAGACTCTAACCTTCAACTCTAACTCTAACTTTAGAAATGCTATTAAAAACAAACTGATCATGATAAGGACGGTGAAAAAAAAGGCAATCAACGCGGAGATTAGAGTAGAAATGATCGGGATATAACGCCGAGGACGGGTTTCATAATCCGAAATGTAGAGAGTGGCCAGGGAACGCTCGAGACTTAAACCGCCGAGAGCTGCTGGAAAGAATGATCATTAAGTTTAGCTGAAGTTTAGCTGAGGTTTAGCTGAAGATGAAGATTTTCCCTTATTTCACCCGTTTTTTCCTCTTATTCTTTTACCTTCCAATTACGGCTTAATCAAATTGTTTTTTTTCTTTTCATTTCTTTTCATTTCTTTTCATTTCTTTATCATTTTAAATCAACTATTGGGTTGAAAAGTGCATTGAAAAAACGTGGGGTATTTCGCGGGAGTCGCAGATAAAGAAAACAATAGCCAATGGTCGCTAAAAGCAGTTTCCAAAACGATTCCGACAGGGGAAAAAGCTCGTAATGATGTTTGGGTAAAGTATTGAATTGGTGAATTGATTCGAAAGCCCACAGCAATCTAGTACCCATCCCTAGCGACCAGGGTTAACAAAAGAGTCAAATTTCCAAGCCAAGCCAAAGCCAAGCCAAAACCAAGCCAAGCCAAAACCAAGCCAAAGCCAAACCAAAACCAAGCCAAAACCAAGCCAAAACCAAGCCAAACCCAAGCCAAAACCAAAGCCAAAACCAAAGCCAAGCCTTTCGCTAAGATCCGACAGTAAAGCTGAAGGATTCTAGGCCGAAGAGCCTTGGCTTTAGCTTGACTTATGGCTTAGATCGGACTCCGATCGTCAGGACCTGATCGTCAGGACCTGATCGGACTCCGGTCAGGTCCTGACGTGACCAAAGTCCGATCAGATCCATGCTTGCTTTCTGACTTTTCGCGGGTCTAGGCACTTTTCTGTTTCTAAACGAAAGTACTTCTTCAGCAACTCACCGACAGCCAATGACATATAGAAAATGCGGAAAGTGCTCGCCGCGAGGGCACCGAAATCACAGGATAACAAATCTGGAGATCAAAGAGATTTTGAGTCGATGAAAAACTGAGCTCACCGAAATCCCCGGGTCCAATGACGCCAATCGTGTAGAGGATTAAAATGTAACGAGAGATTATCGAGAACTCGTATGGACCAAACGCCAAAATGTAGATCATCACGAGATTCCAGTGGAAAAGCTCAAAGAATTGGGTCTTTTTGTTTTGAATAGACTCAAAGTGATTCCAGACTTCAGTTTGGGATCGATTCCTGGTCAGACTTGTTTAAAAAGGTCAGACTTTGCCTTACTTTAGGCCAGTCTAGGTTAGAGCAGAGTTAGTCCAGTTAGTTAGTTAGTTAGTTAACTTTCTCACCTAAGTTAAGGCCTCTCGATCGGTGTAAACGCACCGTTTCTGGGGCACTTCTGGATTAGGGTTATTTCGAGTTGAAATATTCAAAAATCGATTCGACTAGGCACTTTAAAGCAACCGTAACCCGGTCTGCTTCTAATATAGCTTTGATCTTTGTAGTTATTTCTTTTCTCTAACCAGGTAGCCAGCTATTTGGACTACTGTAGCCAGCTGTTTGGACTACTGTAGCCAGCTATTTGGACTAAGCAGGGGTACGGTAGCCGAGTCAAGCTTTATAGGCTAACGTGGTCGAAACTCTACTAAATTTCAGGAAAATCGATTTTAACGTGACGAAGACTGGATGATCTCTCTCTTCCAAGCTACCTGATGAATTTAGTTTGTAAATTGATTCAACCATTTTAAAAAATAAGTCATAAAAAGTGAGTGGAGCGTTTTCCAAAACTAGATCAGACGAGAAGCCGATTCTGACCCCGCGGCTGGGACTTCTAGTCAGCTTTAGAACAACGTTAGCCTCAGAAATATTCTCATAATTGATTTACGGTCCTCCTACAGGTTTAGGCTCAAATCAAACTTTCGAAAGAGCTCAAATCAAACTTTGAAATCTTGATTCGGAGGCTTCAAGCTCAGGCTTGTTCTAGTCTGGCTTGATCCACAGGTTTTTTTCAGGAGACTGATGGCAATATGTCCTGGCTTTATAGGTCCAAGACATAAAACATTCCACGAATCCTCTAGAAGCCTAGACCTGGCTTCTGAACAGATTTTGATTGAGGTGTCTGTAATTTGACTTCATTCTGAGCTCAACTATAGCCTTACTTTGCTTCTGATTCAGACGAAGATCTGACTTGACCTTGATCTAGAACCAGGACCCTTTTTTTCTGTTTCTTTCCATCAATCTAGCCTGTCCTACTTGAACAGTGGGATTTTTTACGAAATTAAAAGCTATTGCGCAAATGAATTGATCAAGAGCACTTGATTCGATCCTGAGTTAGTCTTGCGAACTTGGAAAAAAATCTTGCGCTAATGAATTGATTCAGCTACCGTAATCCTTGTACTTCAAGAGAGCCGACTCACCTTCAGTGTGTGCAAAATTTTGCACGAAAGCGGTAAAATGATTAAGCTGACGGCCAAGAGGAAAATCTCGATCGAGTAGAAGAAAAGCATCGTAATTTGTTGCCAATTCTCGACCAAACGCTTCGGATCGATGAAAATGTGAACGTGGAGGGTGAGATTATTGCAGGACATCGTTGGGAAATTTGGGGAAAATGAAATCAATGGCCGAGTTGTTTCTCGATATTTTCCCAAAAATTTTCCACCTGCTTTCGAGTGAATTGCCCCATTTTTTCTGAAATTCCTCTGCGTGTTTGTCTGGCAAAAGGCTAAAAATCAAAGAATCACGTTACGTTTCAATAACTTTGAAAATTAGCAAAATGGATTTAAGAATGAGTCACTGGCGCGTAATATGAAAATTTGAGCTGTCTAAACCAAACTAAATTTTCAGAACGACAACGGAAACCCGGAGACACAGAACGAAAACTCCCAGCCGCAGCACAAACAAGGCAAAGGTGTAAATTGTTATGGCGGTTTTGTGAAGTATAAATAAGCTCGAGTCGGAATATTTCATTTCTCTTTTTTCAGATAAGCACGATGGCCGGCAAATCGAGGCAGTTGATGGAGCCAAACTAGTTTTCTCATGTCGGAATGAAGTAAAGCTTTTTTGAGGCAATACTTATAAAAAATCTGTTTGCTTTTAGCGCTGACAGACTTTGACTGGAAGATGATTTCACGGCTAAAGCTTATTGGAATAGTTTTAAAATCCTTAACAATTAAAAACGTAATCTAACCAATCCTGAAGTTAGAGATATCTCATCTAACTGAGTCTGAAAATGTGTAAAACATATTAAACATCACGAAATTCAACTATCAGAGTGTACCGATTTTTTTCTCAATCGCCACTACAAAAATCCGACACATTTCCAAAAAATTCTTTGTCGATCCCACTTTCCTTTAATGCATTTTCTGGGATGAAAACAATTGTATTTATAAAAAACAACAACAACAATAATCACTAACGACCATTGACAACAAAGAGGAACAATTTTTTAAACTTAAAACTCAACAACGAGAATAAAAACAACCAAATTTCGATCAAGCTTTCTGTTTGTCCAACTTTTGGCGCTTCTCGGCCAACTTCTTTGCCTCGCCCCGATGCCGCTTGATTCCTTTTGTCAGCTTGTCGTACACTCGTTTATGTTTCTTCTTGATCATCAATTCGCGTATCTTTCTTTCTTCGCCCTTTTTGTTGATCTCCTTTTGCGCGTTTTTCTTGTGCATTTTGCCCGTTTCCACCGACATTCCCTTTTTCTCCTCTTGCGCCATCTTTGGCTTCTTTGTTGCACTCGTTGTGGGGGCTCTTTCTGGCTCGATTGCAGCGGTGTCTTTTCCAAGACTTCGCAACTCTTCAATGCGTTCAATTGGCACGTAGTCACCGGGTTTCTCCTTGATGAACGGGCTGAAATGTGGTGGTAATTCTTGGCCGGGCAAGTACTGTTGCGTGGGTAGCTTGCGTCGAGCATTCAGACAATCGAACACCCATTGCGGTTGAATGTAGACACGATTGAGATCAAAGTTCGCAACGGGACGATCGATGATGTGATGAGTGATCGAGCTCGCCGGCAACTCGAACGGCGCGCCCTCCCAAGTTACTTTCCCACCGCAATTCCGGACGATCAACGCGAGTGCTTCCTTCGGGCACTCGCGGTTCACGAAGAAGTTGCAGCCTTGGAAGAGTGTCTTCAACTTTTTCGCCTCCTTCAATTTCTCGGCCAGCTCGTTGTCCCCGTCCTCGAACATTTCCATTTCCTCGTCTTGCTCTTGTTGTCGTGAGCGAGCAATTGGACGACACAACGAGTAGACTTTTTCCTTTTCTTCGTCACTTTGTTGTTGCTGTTGTTCCTCTTGCACGGTGCCCGTCTCGATCCTTGGTGGATAGTATAAACCAAGCGTTTGGTAAAGTTTATAGTTGACGAAACCAAGCATCGACACGTAGAACTCGGCAAAAGTGGCCATTACGGAGAAGTCGACGTCGGTAATGTGACCCAAGCCTCGCTCGTGCGGCACGATCCAGGTGACTTTCTCGCCGCCAACCATCGCTTGATAGTAGATTCCTTTGATCGAGACAAAGACATTCGTGAGCGAGTGCGACTCGATGACGTAGTGAAGGAATTCGGTTGAAAGCCGTTTGCACTCGGTGATCACATTTGAGCGGAGGTACTTGGTGCGAGGGAACGTCGCGAAGAGGAACGCCATACACAACGCGTCGTCGAGATCACGAAGAGCCGAACCGAAGGTTGGATACCTGAAAATGGAAAAGATTATAGCGTAAAATTAGACCCAGTTAAACGATTATCTAGGAGATTTATCTTTAAAATCTTAAAGCACATGATGCTATGAATTTGAATGCCGAATCAACCAGTGTTTAAATTAATCGCTATACAGCCACATTTGAACGTTACTTGAAAACTTTGCGATTCTTGATGCTGAAACCCAGAAACTCATTCAGCATAGCTGACTTTCAAATTAGCTAATTGAAGAGCTGAATGTTTACTGAAGCAGTTAATAGGCAGCGATAACGAAGTGATTACTATTGTATAAACAGTTGCGCACCTCTCTTTCACGATTCGATCCAGCGATATTTCCTGTTGATTCTCGTACAATTTCTTCACTTTGTCATCCTCTTGTTTCGCCTTGAAGTGGTTGAGTTTGCGGAGGAAAATCTAAAATGAGAAATTTAGCGTTTCATTATATATACAAATTGTATTCACTCAACGTCTAAATCTTCTCACGTAACTTGACGTATAACCAACAAACCTTGTATTCCCGCAATTTGTTGATGATCGGCTCTTGCGTGAGGAAGTGAATGTCCTTGATGTAGTACCAAACTTTGTTCTCGTGGCTTCCCTTGTTCACCTGAAGTCAAAAAATTAGGATCTTTAACGGATGTGTAAACGAGCGTTTTACCCTTACTTAATTGCTGCTTGTGAAATCTTATTGTACTATTGGGTTGGAGTATGAAATGGCACCGACTTTCAAAAAATTTTCTGAAACGTATAAAAGCTTCATATAATCCATTGTTTGTATAATAAAAAAGGTCTACCATTGCTCTACAAAATGGCTTTTGCGAGATTCCGATAAGCTTTTGTTTTGTGGATTTCATGGGTTCCTAAAACACAACCAGTCAAAATGACAAGGAGTCCGATTCGTCGTTTGACTCGTTCCTTACACATAAACTTAACTTGATGTCAAAACAAAAAAGTTAAAGCACATTTAATTACATAAGTAGCAAATTTTTGTAGTCATCTCATCAGTCATTTTCTCTAAATGATGATTTATAGATTTTCTGAAAAAAACTTATCTTTTATTGAATGGGGCACTTTCTGAGTTCTATTGGGTTGGGGACTATGACTCGGCGCCAAACTTTAAAGGGACTTTTGCACACATAAAGCCTTCTTTAAATATACGTTTGGTTTCATCAAAAGGATCCACTATTTCTCTACAAAATGACTTTTGAGAGATTCCACAAAGCTTTTCTTTCGTGGAGTTTATGAACTTCCAAACGCAGCTGGTTAAAATGGCAAAGAGCCCGACTCATCATTTGAACAGTTTCTTTCACATAAACCTTCTTTGGTGTTTATATAAAAAAGATAGAGCACATTTAATTACTTAAGTTGCCAAATTTGCAGGAAGATCCCACCAATTGTTTTTTCTAGATGACAGTTTGTAGTTTTTGTGAAAAAATGGCTTTTTCTTGAGCGGAGGCGCTGTTTGAATTTTCTTTTAAATGTCGTTTTGTAGAGAATTAGTTAACCATTCTACTGATATCAAACGCATATTATTTGACGAAGTCGAATAGAAGTTTTAGACATTTTTTTGGTTTTCGGCGCCGAGTCATAGTCCCCAACCCAATATTTCAAATATGATTTTGTAGAGAAATAAGCGACCTTTCTAATGATACTACCTGCGTGTCATTTGATAAAGACTACTCGATGTTATAGAAGTTTCTTTGAAAGTCAGCGCCATTTCACAGTTTCCAACTCAATAAAAAAGCCAGAATTTAAATGGAATTTGAGTTGCTAGCAAGTAACAGGACAATAAGAATTTTTAAGGTTCTAAATGGCTGTAAGGGATATGAAAATTTTAGCTTTTCTAACAAAAGTCTTTGAAGTAGTTGAAGATATTCTACTAAACTAGATGCTGGAATGCATAACAAAGCTGCTGATCAGAATCTTTTGATTTCCCAACAAAATTTTTAAGTCTAAGATGTCCATAATCAACGCTGCTTATTGAGGCTGCTGCTCAGAATCCTTAGAACACAAAGCACATGAAACACGAACCTTTTTCTTATGCAACGGCTCGTGCGGATGGATGCCCTTAAGGATGCATAAGCGACGGAAGTCCTTCAACGAGAGCTGCAATTTCTTCAGCGCCTTCGTTCGCGAGATGTAGTTCGTCGCTGAACCGGTAGAACCCTTCTTTTTTGACGCGCATCGTGAAGAATTAGCTGAAAAAAAAAGATAACCTTCAATGTAGAACTTGAAACGTACAAAATGAGGGAAAAGACACATTATAAATAGCCTGAAACTTGCAGAAATGGCTCTAAAACATGAAAGATTAGCTTTTCAGAATTTCAGAATGGTCACCATAGAAAATGTCATTGACAGTCTAAATTTACATGAAACTTATAAAACCTAATAGAATTCGTCTTCGCCAACCCCTTTAAAGCCGTAATTTTGCTTGAGACGCGTATTTTCGATGATAACTTTTCTAAAAGGCTCGAAATCTTCACAATAACCTTCAAAAAAGCCAGAACTCCAGCTACTTTCAAGCTTTTTAGGTCAAAAAATCAATAATCTGACATTTTTGTCTTTCAAAACATCGTTTTTTAGCAAGTTTGCCGCTTTTAATCTCAAAAATCCATCAAAAAGCCAACGTTTTAGCATAGGTTTACGCCAAAATGAAGAATTGCAAAGAATTACAGCAAAAAACACTGGAAATTTATTAAAATCATAGATTTCAAATGAAAAGATTTTTCTCTGCCAAATGAAATTCTTTTCTCGGCACTTTCTGCAGGGTCACGCTTTAGCAAGCACGAACTACCGTAGTCTTCGAAATGGGAAATGGCGGTAACACAGGGATTTTCCGCGTTTGACGGGTTTGATGAAAACTTGTTGGAGATAAAATTTATTATAAAGTCCCTCTATTAAATAACTCAATAATAATGACAGAAAAATGAGAAAAATGACAACAAGAAAACACATTACATAAGATTGCACATAAAGAGACCCGTAAAAGCGCAAAACAAAAATAACGTATTAAAAATATAGGAAATAAATCTAAATCAATTAAAAAAATCAAATTAAATCTTCGTCTAGCGTCTCATTTTTTCCTTCTCGATTTTCTCCCAATCGGTCGCCTCGATCGAATCGTTGTTCATGTGTTGGAAAGCGACTTTGCAAGCTGGAAAGAAAAATTAAATGACTTCTTTGTTGCCTAAAATCTTTTAGCATTTGTCCTTTTGAATTTTGCAGTTTTCCGTTAACTGTGATTTTTTAGAGCATATAAAGCGCCAATCTCCGTAAAGTTTAACCTTTTTTTGGGCTTATTTTTGTCATTTTACTCGTACTATTTATCCCCTGAGCTAGTGAAATATTTTAAATCGGTACCTGAATAGAGATCGCGATTCGTGGGCAGGAAAACCTCGTAAGCGGCGCGCACAACTTCTGATGGGATCCTCTTTGCGGCCAGCAGGCGACGTTGAAATTCTTCTTTCAGCCCGCGTTCTTTCACCTAAAGTTGACATGTCAAGCTTTGAATATATCTAGCGACTATAATTTGGAAAATATATTGCTTATTGCTAAAACTAGTACCAAATTGCATTCTTATATGTCAAACTAAAGCCGAGTGGTTCTCCATTTTGTTTTAAATACAATAAAAGCAAAACGTCATCATTTTGCTCAAAATAATGACGCAAAAATGCCAAACCTACCATTTTCGTGAACTGCTTGACGAGCGGATGAACTTTCATTTGCACTGTTGATGCTTGGACTACAGAGCTCGAAGCCATGGGTTTGTCGTTCGCCGTCTCATCGCCACTCGTCAATTTGATCGCCGAGTGTAAACGAGCCGGATTGGGTTTCTGAAAAAAAGGAAACACGTTAAAATCAATTAAAAAATAAAAACCTGAATCGTTTTCACCGTTTCTTCATCGGCGAAATAGTTGCTGGAGAATTGGCGCGTTGCTAACTATAGAGAAGATTGAAATTTCACGATCGGATCAACTTTGACAAGTAAAAAAAGAAATGTTTCAAAATATTCAGTGAATATTTTTCACTGATCATTTCAAAATATCCAATTTCCCCGGCATCTAACCGAATTCAAACGAACCGCTGGTTTCTTCGGAATCACCGCTTGGCCATTTTGATCGCTCTCTGCAACGGTGATACGCCTTTTGTTGGAAGTGAGCAAACGAATGCGCGTCAATTCACTCGAACTTGCTCCAACGTTCTGCTCTCCTTCTTGACTCTAAAATTTGAATTACAAAAGAAAGCGGAACTCAAATTACCAAAGCCGAGTCGAGACTCGTGGACGGTTTCGCCTTTTCTTCAACTGGCTTCGGTGCGCACGAGAAAAGACCCAAATCGAGGCTAAATTGACTGTTGACCATTTTTAAAATATCAAACTCAATACTCACTCATTTTGCGGCTCTTGTTGTATTTTAATGGGCGATCGACGGCGGAAGCGATTCGGATTCTCGACAACGTGCTTGTAGACTGATGATTGTTCAGAGGATTTCATCGATAAACCATGTTTCTGAAACATCTGGTATTAAGAATTTTCTAAAAAGCTAGTAAGTCTAAAAACCAAGACCAAGCCAGCTCAGGCCACGGTAAAACTTACGGTAAAGAAGTGTTTCATGTCGTTTATCCACTCGTCGTAATTGTTCACGATTTTCTTCTCCGATCGTAACCATCCCGGGAAAAACGTGCGATTCATGCTTCGAAACCTAAAAGTACAAAGATTTGTTTGCGTTTAAAACTGCTTGCTTTGAACTTCAGGCCGAGAGGCCAAGATCAGTCACAAAAATCACCTCGCATCCAACAAGACGACAATCCCGAAATCGTCTTTGTGCCGTAACACGCGTCCGACCGCTTGGTTCACCGTGCGCATCGCCTCGATGGTGTACCTAAAAAGACACAACTAAGCACAAAAAATTTGGCATTCCAGGTGTTATCATCGATTGGCGCCTCGGCTTTTGTAAGTGCTGAATCCTTTTGTGTTCGTTGCTGTGTGAAAGCTTTCAACTTGTTCGCCAGGATTTTCCTTAAAAAAATTGATTATTGTCAGCTGTACTTAAAAATACCTCTTGACCATGATGCGAATGTCGTACAGTGGTGGAAACGGAATCCCGATGATGATGACGGCTCGTGCGTGTCGATCCGAGAAGTTGATGCCCTCGGAGAGCTGAAAAATCAAATGTAATTGAGGATTTGATTTAGAATTCGTTGCCTGGGCTCACTGTTCATTATCAAATGATGTTTATCTCTCTCCTTTTCCTTTAATCTTACACTATAGCTACTTGTCTAGCATCTACTTATACCAATACAACTTATACCCTCAAGCAACCACAAGCAAGCACTCACCTTTCCTTTGGCCACCGCGAAAAAGACGGCTCCATTCGCCGAGTCGATGTGCTGATTGAAGAGCATTGTTTGTTCTTTCATTTGCATCTAAATTTGATCAAATTGCTTGAATTAAACTTATTTAAAGATCCATCCCAAAATTAACCTTATTCTTCGGCTCGATGGCCACTTTCTTCACCGCGTCGATCTCCGCCAACCAGCCGCTCTTTTCCCAGATTTTTCGGCAGGCCTCCATGTACTGAATAGGTGATTTTTGGTAATTTAAAGGCTTAAGTCATTTTAGTCAGCTTGATTTTACAAACAAGTCTATGTGTTCTTATGTAGATTTTGCTAGTTGTAACCCACAAAAAACGGCACTAACCACGAAACTCGGGAAGAAGACTAACACACCCTGTGGCACCGCTTTCACCGTGTCCAAAACGGCGCGCCCGATCGAGTTCACGTAATCGGGGTTGTTTCTAAAAAATTCTTGGATTTATTTGTTTAATATACTTAATTAAATTTACAGATATAATAGCTAAGCGTTAGTAGGTAAACGTTTTTACCGATTCTCAAACGTTCCCAACAACGGCACGTCGTCTCTCGTCCCAAAATAGGCATCCGCGCGTCCCCGGGGCACAATGAAGCATCGCACCTAAAATAAAACAGTTTTCCATGAGAAATGATTCAAACGCGCTTACTTGTTCAGCTTTTGCAGCGTGTTCGGCCGTGAAGAGATCACCGACATTTCTGGAAAGAAGAAATTATTTAGAATAGGATTTGTGATTTATAGACGTAACATGTTTGAGCAAGGCTAATTATAAGCGATCTGGGATTGTGATCGCAAAGCGAGCGATCTAAGATAAACTAGACATACCAGAGTACTTCCTACAGTAAATCGTTTCTTTTGGTTCGTGATTGATAGCTTTGTTTCTGTAGTCAAACATTAGATAAATCTTTTACAGTAAACTGCACTAGAGAGAATACTTCAATTCATCGATTAGACTTGTGCAAATGCAAATTCACCTATAGGTAAACTGAGAGTGCCAAATTTGAATGAACGCTTCTAAACTAGGTCTATTAGTGTCTGTGCTATTAGTGGGCCAAAGAATTATAATGTACCCTATGCCAGGTTCAATTTTGAGCACCAGAGTGTAGCCATGAAGCCAAATTACTAATTTTACCACTTACAGCGACATCTCGCTCGCAAACGACTCCAACGGCGCCAACGTGCCACTGGTGAGGATGATAGATCGAGCTCCGAGTCGCTTTAGCCGGCGCATCGTGATCGACGAGTCGAAACAGCCCCAATGCAGCGAGTACTAGAAGTATCGTGTGAATTGTTAAGCGAAGATTTGCCTCGTAAACTCACCTCTTCAACTTGTTTCGTCACGTCGTGTTGCTTCTCAACGTTTATCCAAAACTTGAAGTTCGCCATTCGATCGCCGCCTGAAAATTAAATTGTTAATTAGCTAAGTCATTTACTTTTGCCCAATTTCCTGTAAATCCAGGCCAAACCAAATCAACGACGTTGCATTTGGCCAAAGTAGGCCAAATGCAACGGTAAGGTTGAAATTCCAGGTCAAGTTCAATTGAAAGCCATTGGCTTAGGTTTGAATAGCCTTGGCTTTTTCTGTCAACCCTGTTAATGACTCTGAGTTGTCGGGGTGAAAGCTATTTGCCTGAACCGGAATCGAAAGTGTTCAACAGACAAGATAAATGCCAAAGAACAACTGTATTCAACGCAGAATACAATTCGGTCAATCTTCACCAACACGACATAGCAACCCACCCTGCGCCATCACCTCAGCCGTCCCTTCTAGCGCCGATTCGATGAACGATGCAACGGCATCCAATTGCCGTCCAACTTCTTTCTCGAGTTTGGTTTGATCTTCTAAATTCATCAAATATCTTAATATCAATAAAATAATGATCACCTTCCAGTA